TTTTTTCATCAAGAAGCCAATTAATCCTACCAAAATGCTGCACATGGCCCATCTCTGCTGCTGGCAGGGCTGGGAAGGAGCCATTCCCAACCACAGGAACATCCCATGAAACTCAGTGCTCCACAAACACTTGGGTGGGTGAGGCAGGCCTGAGAGGCACGGGGGTGTTCCCAAAACCCCCCCTGACCTTTGATGGAGATCTCCTTGCCCTGGAAGTTGTGCAGGTACCGCAGCAGAACTTCCTTCCAGTAGCTCCTGTAGCTGATCAGGCCCAGGTCAGACAGGGGACGCTCCGGGGAGCCAACTTTCTCTTCCACTTTAGACAGCAAATAGCCTAAAAAATATAAAAATAACTATATTTAAACGACTCAGAAATGAAGCAGGGTGGAAGCTGCTCCAGCAGCAGCAGCCAGGGGAGATTTCCTGGTGGAGCTGGAGGAATTTGTCCCTGGAATTTCCCCCCACACTCACTGAAGTCAATGAGCATTTTGCCATAGCCTTGTCTCATGTACTGGGGCATGGTCAGGATGCAGGACACGTTGTAGTTCAGGAAGGAATTCTTCTCCTGGAAACAAGAGCAGAGAGGAAGGGCAGAGCTCAGGATTTTTATTCCTTTAGCTGTTTTATTTTATAAAAAAAATCATGGTGATTAATATTTATTTTAATGTATTTTTCTCCACATTCCTTCCCAGTTTCTTTCTCCCTCATGAAGACACCACTCTGCTTCCTGGGAACTACAGTTCCTTGGAGCTGGTTTGGTTTTTGCTGGGAATGAGGAAAGATGGAGCAGCACAGCACGTGCAATCCCTCAGCAAACACAACCCCTGCAGCTCAGCCTTGGACTTTCATCTGCTCCCAAAAGCAGCAAACCCTGAGACTGCAGAAGGGATTCAGTGCTGCTGAGGGGGCCCTAAATCCCATTTTAGTGAGGTGGGGGATGAGTGTTTTCCACTGACCTTGGAGAAATACCCGATCAGGTGGCAGCCAGTGTTGTCAGCCTCTGTCATGACGTAGAAAAGGAAGGGTTCCACATCATAATAAAGGGTTTTGTGGTCCAGGAAAAGCTTTGCCAGCAGACACAGGTTCTGACAGTAGATCTGGGCACAGAAAAGAGATGCAGGTGTTTACTCCAGTGGGATACCCCAAATGTGGGCAAAACCACCTGGGAAAGGACAAAAACTCCTCAGAATCATCTGAGAAATGATGGGGAAACAGAGCAGCTGGGCCAGGAAACAATTCCATTGGTGATGGAAGTGGAAGAGCCTGGATGCTGCCCCTCACCTCTGCTGGGTGAGACACAGAGGGAGCTGCAGGAGCAGCA